GGCGGGGGGGCGGCAGCAGCATGCCGATGCTGTTGCTGCTGTCGCTGCTGCTGCGCTGCTGCTGCTGTTCAAGGTAGTAATATTATATTTAAATGTTTTATTTGTTTGAAATGCGTATAGGTGTGCTTAAAAGAAAAGAATAATTAAAGGTTTCCATAGACTGAGCTGCCTATACACCTCAGCTCGCCGGCCTTCAAAGGCTCGGCAGCAGCACCAATCGCTGTATGGGTGTTTTTGGTGCTTTCAAGAAGGAATTTATTTAAAAATAATTAAAATTAATTAAAGATAAAATAAATTTATGTATTTTAATAATAAATACACTGGCTAAAACTTTAATTATGGAGGCCTCAATCTGTGAGCGGTCGGCGGTCGTCGGCTGCTGTGTCTGTACACCTGAAAACCACTGGTCAGCCCTTCATATATTTGCTTATCTTTTTGTTTCTTCTTGAAGTATTGAAATATTTATTTGTTTCAAGAAAAAATATATCCAAACCAAAGAAAAACGAGTAAAAAAAACAGAGATATAGCAGCTATATGCAGCAACAACCCTCAGCCTTCTCCTAATGCCTCTGTTTTGTGGTTTAGGGTTTAGGGTTTAAAGAAAGTTAAAACAACGGAGGTGTCTGTACACCCCACACGCACAGAATAATCTAAAAAAAAGAAGAAAGGCAGCGGCAGCAAACTTCATCATACAGCTGTAGTAACAGTATTAGTAATAGTAAAGTAGAGAAGTTAAGACAAACAAAGACAGCCGCCAAGCTCTTCATCGTCTCTGTTAAATGCAGCACCACGTAAACAATCGATAGGCCTAACTCTCTCTTCTGTTTCTTCATCCTCTTCTCTCTCTTCTATATACACTCTCCGTCTTTAGATAATGAATTAAGCTGTCTTTTATTGAATATTTTGTGTATACACACAGCGGCACTCAGTCCAAAAACAACAAAACAAAAAAACAAAAAAGGAAGGCGTTGCGTTTTACGGTGTCTCCTCGTTTGTCTCCCGTGCATATATTTGCATTTATAAATATATACAGATATCAATTATATATATATATATACATATATATATATATATGTATATTCATATACAGGTATATATGGCTACATATAGAAATACATAGATGTTTATATAATATATATATATATATATATATTCATATATATATATATATATATATATTATATATACATATGCATGTATATAAGTATATACATACCTACATATATATACATATGTATATATATATATATATATATATACACATATATATATATATATACATCTATTGAAAACTCTCGTTTGTTGTTTGCCGTTGTTAGTTTTAATCTTGTTATTCTTTGTTGCTATTTGCTGCATTTCTGTCTTTTGTTTGTTTTTGTTTGTCTGTCTGCACTTTTATTCTCTTCATTATTTTTGTCTCGTTGTTTAAATAAATAATGTTTATCTATCTTTGTTTGTTTTTCTTTGTTGTTGCCTCTCCTTTTGTTTGTTTTTGTTTGTTTTTGTTTGTCTGTCTCTCTTTTTGTTTGTTTGTTTTTGTTTGTCTGTCTCTATCTCTTTCTGTTTGTTTTCTTTGTCTTTGTTTGCCTCTATTTATTTATTTATTTATTTATTTATTTATTTATTTATTTATTTATTTATCTATTTGTTTCTGCACTTCTCTTTGTTTGTTTGTCTTTGTTTGTGTCTTTGTCTATCTTTGCCTCTATCTCTATTTATTTTTATTTATATTTATTTATTTATTTTTTATGTAGTCTCCTTTTACTGTTTGTCTCTGTTCCCGATATTTTATTAATTTTATCCGTCTTAAACTTCTCTGTCTTTAAAACGCCAAATTCAATTCAAACCCCAAACCCTAAACCCCAAACCCTAAACCCTAAACCCTAAACCCTAAACCCTTTGACATATTTGCACCGCTTTTACATTCCCGACCTTTCTCGCGGCGCACATCGAATAATGTCGTCCACCCGAATAATCTGAGACGCAAACCCTAAACCCTAGACCCTAAACCCTAAAACCCTAAACCCTAAACCCTAGACTCCAACGAACTAAGCCTCAATCCCTATACAATAAAACCCAAAGCCTACGCCCAGTGCATTAAACCCTAGACCCTAAACCCTAAACCCTAAACCCTAAAACCCTAAAACTCTAAACCCTAAAACCGTAAAACCGTAAAACCCTAAAATCCTAAACTGAAAAACCCTAAACCCTAAACCCTAAACCCTAAACCCTAAAACCCCTAAACCCTAAAACCCCTAAACCCTAAAACCCCTAAACCCTAAACCCTAAACCGTACCATTTCTGCTGCTTCTGTAGCGAAGCAGAGCTGCGAGAGTTTGCTTTTGAAGGCTTCTACAACCCCTTTCTGTTTAACGTCTACCGTCCCTCCAGCACCCTCAACGCAAACACCCATCGTATGTTTGCCTGCGTGGTGCTGCGCTCGCAACTCCGAAACAATCTCAGCGCTGTCCAAACCTGTACATACACCCCAAAACCCTAAACCCTAAACCCTAAACCCTAAACCCTAAACCCTATAAGCATAAACCTAAAACCCTAAAACCTTATGTCCTACACCCAAAACCCTAAAAATATAAACCCTAAACCCTAAAACTCTAAACCCTAAATCCTCGTCAATCGATGAAGAAGGCATAAAAAGAAAAACCCTTAAGGCCAAGCATGCACACTGCGCTACGCTCGTCACTGCATATACACCCCAAAACCCTAAACCCTAAACCCTAAACCCTAAGCATAAAGCCTAGGCAAACCCTCACCAGCGTTGTCGAGAATGATGGTGGGGATCTGGCGGAGGGCTCGCGCGTAACTCTCCACGGCCAAACTCTGCACAAAACCCTAAACCCTAAACCCTAAACCCTAAACCCTAAACCCTCGCCTTGAGTTTCTACGCCCTAAATAATGTTTGATTTGGCTGCATTTTTGCATCTAAGATGAATGGCGATGCGACTTCGAGTAGGGTTTAGGGTTTAGGATTTGTCGAGATGGCTAGGGTTTAGGGTTTAGGGTTTAGGGTTTATTGTCTCGCCTCCTTTCCAGGTATGGTGTGTGCAAGCTGTGAGACAGCAGCCTCCATCGCCATCTCTGCTGCACCTCCGCCGCAGACCAGCAGCAGCTGCTGCTCTTTTGAAGACAGAATACCTTCACTAAGTTCTTCTGCTGCAGCAGCTATACCTGAGGCTGCTGCTGCTGCTGCTTGCCGCTGCTGCTTCCGCTGCTGCTGCTCCTGCAGCACCAACTGAGACAATATTGCCAGGGCATCATGCAGAGACCTTTCTGCTTCATCTACACCCTGCTCGCTGCTACCCCGCACCACAACTGTGCATGCGCCTCCTGAAGCACAAACCCTAAACCCTAAACCCTAAACCCTAAACCCTAATTCTAGTCATTTGCATGCATGCATGCATGCAGGAAGATTAATACAGATAAAAAAACACCAGCAGCATCAAACAACTACCAGATACAGCATAACAACAAATGCAGCAGCAAACAATACCAGCAGCAGCAGCATCAGCATCAGCAGCAGCAGCAGCAGCAGCAGCAACAGCAGCAGCAGCAGCAGCAGCAGCAGCAACAGCAGCACACCTGCTTTGCAGCCTGAGAATCGGATGGCGGTGTCATCTCCAATCACAACCTCCTCCATCTTCGCACAAAAGCCAAGTGGCTCCTGAACACAAACCCTAAACCCTAAACCCTAAACCCTAAGCCCCTAAACCCCTAAACCCTTAAACCGCAATACACCCTAACAAACCCTAAACAAACCCCCCTAATAAATCCAAACAAATCTCAGCATACCTAAACACCCAAATAAACCCTAATAAACCCTAATAAACCCTAATAAACCCTACTAAACCCTGCTAAACCCTAATGAACCCTCATAAACCCTAATAAACCCCAATAAACCCTAATAAACCCTAATAAACCCTAATAAACCCTAATAAACCCTCATAAACCCTCATAAACCCTACGAAGCCGTAGCAAGTGCGACTAACCCCAAACCCCCCGAAAAAAAGCGCACGCATCCCCCAGAAACCCTTCTACACCCCCATAAACCCTAAACCCTAAACCCTAAACCCTAAACCCTAAACCCTGATCCGTACCTGTGAGGGTTTATCAAATGTAGAGAGTATCTCTGCACCGAGTGCAGCAGCCAAGCGTTCCATGCCGTCGAAGTCTGAGTGCTCCAATTGCTGCAACTCCGGCAGCTTTAAATAATTGGTCGGGGTAATTATAAATCAGCTGACGGTTTATAAAGACGTCGCAGTTATACGCCAAAATCTTATCCACCTGTATATACACCATAGACACTCACAAACCCTAAACCCTAAACCCTAAACCCTAAACCCTAATATTCAATAAGCATATCAACAATCATCAACAATCATAAATTATAATAAACCCTAATAAACCCTAATAAATCCTAATAAACCCCGATAAACCATCATAAACCCTTATAAACAATCATACACCCTAATAAATCCTAGTAAACACAGATAAACAATTACAAACCCTAATACACTCTAATAAGCAATCATGCACCATAATACACCCTAATGAACAATCATAAACCCTAATAAACCCTAATAAACCCTAAAAAACCCTAATAAACCCTAATAAACCCTAATAAACCCTAATAAACCCTAAACCCTACCTTTTGCTTCATTTTCTCCTTCTCTGCGAGCTCTAGCTGATGCACAGCTTCGAAGGAGTCGACTTTAACCCTCGCACCAAATATTTTAATTTTGTCGGTGTCCATTGGGGTGTTTGCCACCATCACCTGCATGCATACACCCCAAACCCTAAACCCTAAACCCTAAACCCTAAACCCTAAACCCTAAACCCTAAACCCTAAACCCCAGATCTGCAGCCAAAGCCTTAGCGCCTAAAGAGATGCCCATAATGCAATCCTTTCATACGTAAATCCCACTAAACCCTAAACCCCACTAAACCCTAAACCCTAAACCCTAAACCCTAAACCCCTCAGTGTGGGTGTCATCTTACCTTGCAGTTTTCCTTCACCTTGGGCTGCCCCACACCTGCAAATCCAACAGCAGCAGTTTATAAATAAATAAATGCATGCAAATGCATGCATAACTACTTCCTAAACCCTAAACCCTAAACCCTAAACCCTAAACCCTACCGATTTTCTTTTCAAGAAGAAAACCCTCATCTAAATAGGAGTCCTTCAAACAACCCCCTGGCTTTTTAATAATATGTATTAAATCCAAAGATGCAGCATTTTCACGTAAACGCAATATTGCGTCTACTGCGATCTGAGCAAAGTGCTCCTGAACACAAACCCTAAACCCTAAACCCTAAACCCTAAACCCGCCACAGAAAACTCCGCGCCGAGATACGCATGCACACAAAAACCCTACTCAACGAATCGCAAACCCTCAATCAGAACGCCCACCAAGCCTAAACCCTAAACCCTAAACCCTAAACCCTCTCGAGGTATCTGGTAATTCTCAAACCCTACGAAAGCCGCCGCACCAAGCGGTGTGCATCTAGGGTTTGAATTGAGGGATTCGGGTGTTAAAATGCGAGGGTTTAGGGTTTAACGATGTCCTTAGGGTTTAGGGTTTAGGGTTCAGGGTTTAGGGTTTAGGGTTTACCTTGTCTGAGGGAAGAAGCTTTGAGGAGAGAGTTGTGCGAGCCACATTAAGTAAAGCAGATCGTAGGCTGTCTTCAGACTCTACACCAAATGCAACTGCAGCAAGTTGCTTCCTTGCTGCTGCTGCTGCTTTTCTGTAGCCGCTGATGATTGTCTAAAGCCCCACACACGCAAAACACCGAGGGTTTAGGGTTTAGGGTTTACGGGGTGAAGGAGCGGCAACCCAAACTAACTGCAAACCAACACACCTAAAAAACCCTAAACCCTAAACCCTAAACCCTAACCTGAGGATGTATATTCTTCTCTACCAGCTGCTCTGCCTCCCGCAGCAATTCTGCTGCTAACACCACGACGCCCGTAGTGCCGTCGCCGCACACCATATCTTGCTGCAGCGCCAAATCTGCAGCAGCAGCAGCAGCAGCAGCAGCAGCAGCAGCAACAGCAGCAGAAGGGGAGGCGTGAGAGGAAGCAGCACCACAACAAAGCGAAGCGGTTTGCGTGGCAGAGAAAGATGAACCCGTAATCAACCCTAAACCCTAAACCCTAAACCCTAAACCCCTAAACCCTAAACCCTAACTGCAAGCCTGCAAGGATCTTAGCAGCAGGGTTATCAAGCCAGACTCCCCCTAAACCCTACCCCACTAAACCCTAAACCCTAAACCCTAAACCCTAATTGCAAACCTGCAAGGATCTTAGCAGCAGGGTTATCAAGCCAGACGGATTTTAAGATAGTAGCGCCGTCATTAGTAACTGTGGGGCCCTCTCTTCTTGCTGCTTCCATCTGCATCGGCTGCAGCACTTTGTCTAATCCTTTGGGGCCTAACGTAGCCTTCACTAAGTCGCCTACTGCTATTGCTCCTACAAAGTATTGCTGAGAACAATAAACAAATATATATATATATATTAATTTGTTTGTTTATTTAATTAATTTGTTTTATCAGTTTCTTTAGTTAATTATACTACGTCGCCTTCACTAAGGCGACTACTGCTATCGCTCCTACAAAGTATTGCTGAGAATAATAAATAAATTTATTTATTAATTTAATTACTTTAATTAATTAATTAAATTAATTAGTTTAATTATTTAATTAAATTAAGTAGTTAAATTAATTAGATAATATAATCTAAGTCGCCTGCACCACATCCCCTACTGCTATCGCCCCTACAAAGTATTGCTGAAAATAAATAAATAAATTAAATAAATTAATTTAATTAATTTAATTAATTAATTAATTAAATTAATTAATTAATTAATCTATTTATTTAAATAGTTAATTTTAGTTATTAATTAAATTAATTTTATTTGGGGGGTATATAAATACATCGCGACCCAACAATTAATTAATTATTTAATTAATTAATTAAAATAATTAATTATTTAGTTAATTAAAATAATCAATTAATTATATTATTAATAAATAATGTAGAAATACGCCAGAAGTATAGACAGCAAATAATAAAAATATAAGCAGATAAACAAATAATGGATAACTATACTAATAGACATATAGAGAATAATAATAAAAATAATAATAATAATATATAATAATAATATATAATAATAATATATAATAATAATAATATATAATAATAATAATATATAATAATAATAATATGTAATATTTAATAATATGCATGTAAATAATAATTATATAAAGTATAATTAAAATAATAAACACATAATGAATAAATATAAAAATAAACATATAATGAGTAATTATAATGATAATATATAATCCTATATATGAAAATATATACACATATATATATATATGTATATAATAGCTTATACATATATGTATATATATATATATATTAAACATATAATAAATAAGCGAAGAAAGCGAGAAATAAATACTGCATACTTAAAAATATTAATATATAAACCATTAATAAATAAATGTCTAACAAATAAATACAAATAAATAAATAATAAATACATTGAGAGATAATAAACAGATAAATAATAAATGTGTTGGTGAACTAAACAAATGTCTTTCTTTGAATTAATATTTATTAAATAATAATAAATACTATTTAAACAACAGAGAAATGTGCAGGTGCTAATAAATAAAGAAAAGCTTAAAAACATCTAAGTAAATAAATATATACATATGTGTAAAACATATATATCACAAATATAGCAGTAAACCCTAAACCCTAAACCCTAAACCCTAATAAAGGATAGAGTAAATGAATAGGGAATACACGTAAAACGACAAACAGAGAGACACACATAGGAAAGAAAACAGCTAGCTAGCTAGCTAGCTAGCTAGCTAGCTAAACACCTAGTTGTGAGTAAATGCTTCAAGAGAAGTTCACGAGATCAACCCTAAAGCCTAAACCCTAAACCCTAAACACTCTCAGACTGCTCACCAGGCGAGCAGTATCTCCCTTATCCTCCTGAGCCCCCTGCTTTAGAACAGCAGGCCCAACCTCCCCTTGCTGAGGCACACACAAACCCTAAACCCTAAACCCTAAACCCTAAACCCTCGAGAAACTCTTAGGCGTTTATGGAGACGCGCAGCACCCTCAAAAGTTGGAGACGAAATATAAAGAAATACCGATCAAAGAGAGTCACAGCTTGATGGGAATATACCCCCCTAGACCGAAACCCTAAACCCTAAACCCTTAGACCCTAAACCCTAAACCCTCGGCTGCACCAAGTCTTCGGAGCCAAACCCCACATAGCTCCCATGAGCCCCCAGGGAAACCGCATGTCTTGAGGAGGAGACTTAGATGTATATTATTTCCTCAACACTTCTTGAAAAGAAGAGGGAGGTTTAGTGCCTGTACACCATGGGGCTGGGTTTAGGGTTTAGGGTTTAGGGTTTAGAGGTAGCAGCTGAACGCGCACCATCATTTTGACTTGTTGATTGGAAATGGAGAGAATGCAGGAGAAGAAAACACATTCAAGGCAGTGAAAATAACGTTTACTTACACTAAACCCTAAACCCTAAACCCTAAACCCTAGAGACATGCATGGCGGCTGCTGTGTTGTACAGACGCCCCAACTGCGGCCGCTGCAGCAGCCCCGGCAGCAGCTTAGGCTTAGATGAATTGTTGAGGTGAAGAAGATGATTAATATTGCAAATTAAAAGAAATTAAAATCCAAAATCAAGGAAAAATTCTTAGATTTAGTCTTAATCACAACATACACTCAGCGAGCTACGCTGTTGGGGCGCCTACAGCTGCCTGGCTGGTGGCTGTATGAAGGCAGACGGGTACTCTGAGTTTGTTTTCTTCTTATTTTCGGAAGATTTATTGAAAAATATTCAAGAATAATATCTTATTCTCTTAAAGTACATACTCTTCTATTTTTGCTGCTTCTATTTGAGGTGTACGTACACCTCAGATCGCTCGCCGCAATCTTGTTGTGCATTGTGCGCTGTTCAAGCAGTTTCTTCTATAACTGTTTCATTGAGGTGTCTGTACACCTGAATATCTTCTTTTTTCTTTTCTTTTATTCAATATCAAAATGACGGACACCGTAGACTACTACAGCCTCGAAGGAGGCCGCAAGGCTGCAACTGAAGAAGCTGATTTCCGCAAGGAAATACGTCAGGGTTTCATTAGGTATGATCAAGCGAAGAGCAGCAATTAAAATGAATAATAATCAGATAATTAAAACAATACAGTAGATAAAGTAGTCACAGCAGAAGATAAGACACACAAAGTTCGCTGCAAACCACTCCAAGACCTTTTTCCCGAGGGTTTAGGGTTTAGGGTTTAGGGTTTAGGGTTTGTGACTGTGCAGGAAGGTGTATGGAATCATAGCGCTCCAGCTGCTTCTCACCACTGTCGTAACGGCTCTTCTTCTCTTTGTTCCTGGTGGAGTCGCCTGGGCTAAGCACAGCAGCGGCCCCGTCGTTGCTCTTTCATCAAGTAAATATATTCATACAAATATCTATAATATAATATATATATATATATGTAGGGTTTAGGGTTTAGGGTTTAGGGTTTGGTATTCTATAGAAAGGCATGTATGCATATCATTGTCTGGCGTGTATTCAAAACGTGACTGGGGCTTAGGGTTTAGGGTTTAGGGTTAGGGATAAGTGTAGGCGGGAAGGCTTGGGGTATAATGTGGAGGTTTAGGGTTTAGGGTTTAGGGTTTGTGTGTGTGTGTGCGTTGTGTTTGCAGTTTGTATGATAGTGACTTCGTTAGTGTTGATGTGTTCGAGAGCGCGGTTTGTATATCCTTATAATTATTTATTATTGTTGTTGTTTACTGTATCTGAAGCTATGTTAGTTGGTGTTCTTTCTGCATTTTATACTGTCTCTTCTGTTGCTTTTGCATTAGGAGGTGCAGTGTTAATTTGTGTAGGTTTATCTTTGTTTGCTTGTCAATCGAAGCATGACTTTACGTCTTGTGTAGGTATAGTATTTATATTAAGCTTAAATCTATTACTTCTAGGGATATTGTCTTTCTTTCTAGGGACATGGGCTCAAGCACTCTATTCATTTCTCTCTCTTTTACTCTTTTCTTTTTATTTAGTTATTGATACACAACTTATTATACGCAGAGGTGCTGTACGCCTTGAAGAGGATGATTATATTGTTGCTGCTGTTATGATTTACTTGGACATTATCAATATATTCGTCAGTCTTCTTCGTCTCTTTGGAGAACGCTCAGAATAAATATATTCAATATAATAATGCAAACACCTCCTTCCTTATGTACACTCAAAGACGTCGACGGATACACACTTGGGGTGTACGTACACCTCAAAAATATACATGTTTCTGGACGGAGTATACATGAAAATAGGTTTGACGAATTATTCTAATACTCTATTATTATTATTACTATTATTATTATTATTATTATTATATTGTTATTATTATTCTTATTGTTATTGTTATATTGTTGTTATTATGGTTGTTATTGGGTTTAGACATGCACAAGACTGAATATGCTTATTATAACTGTGTGTGTTATAACTGTGTGAGTGGTTCGGGTGTACGTACACTCCAGCATCTCTCCTGAGGTGTACGTACACCTCAGCTGACTCGGATGTACATGCACTTCAACATCCCTCGGGTGTGCGTACACTCCAACATCCCTCCTGAGGTGTACGTACACTCCGACATATCTCGGGTGTATCTACACTTTATCATCCTTCGGCTGTACGTACAGCACAGCTGGCTTCGGGTGTACGTACGCCACAGCTGGCTTCGGGTGTACATACACCTCAGCTGACTTCGGGTGTACGTACACTTCAACATCCCTCCTGAGGTGTACGTACACCTCAAAACCAGTAATATGCTTTTCCGGAGAGTGGAGGCTCTTTGATTTTTTAGTCGAACACTTCACCTATCATCCATTGAAATAAGGCGTTGGTTTGTTTGTTTGTTTGTCTCTTCTTATTTCTGCATCCTGTTGCTCGGTGCTTTGTCGTCTCTCCTGTTGTGTTAGTGTAGCTGAGCTGTTTATTTGTTTGTTTGTGCGTCTGTTTGTCTTTGTTTCTCTGTCTCATTATGTTGTTCAGGTCTCTCTCTATGTCTTTGTTTGTTTGATATTTTCATTAGCTCGTCTGTTTGCTTTTCTTCTTATTTTTCCTGTCTTGTCTGCATTTTTATATATATCTCTCTCTCTCACTCTCTCTTTAATTTGTTTATTTGATTTGTTTATTTAATTAGTTTATCTCTTCTGTCTGTCTTTGCTTAATTCTGCGTCTCTGTCTTTTTTTCTCTTCTTCTTTTTGTCTGCCTTTCTTCTCTTCACTGCCACCCGAAGAACTTAAACATGCAGCCCGTATACAAATAAATAAATAAATAAACTACTTTAAATAAATAAATAAATAAATAAACAACTTTAAAAGGAGACAGCAAAAGTCAAAGCTGTCTCTTCTCCCTGAAGAAGAAAACGAAGATAAATCAAAAACAGCAAACAGCAACACCTCATTTAAACCTGCATGCAGTTGTTGTTCTATAGAATGATAAAAAGGAGACAGACAGCAGCAAAACAAAATAAAATAAAATAAAATAAATAAACAAGCACGAGATAGACGGAAACACACAAAGACAAAGACAGCAACAAAACCATAAAACAAAATAAAACAAACAAACAAGCAGCAACAGAACAAGAAACAAACATCAAAACAACAAGAAAGAGACAGCAGCAACACAAGAGACAGACAGCAGCAACACAAGAGACAGACAGCAGCAAAAGAGGAGACAGCTTTTATCTCCCAGAGCTTTTCTGGTGTCAGTAGCAAAGCAGCACGCCTACTACTCTTCATCCTACTCAGTAGAATAGGATCAGCAGCAGCAGCAACAACAACAACAGCAACACTAGCAGCAGCAGCAACAGCAGCAACACTGGCAGAAGCAGCAACAGCACCAGAAGCACCAACAGCGCCAGCAGCAGCAACAGCAGCAGCAGCAGCAGCAGCAGCAACCAGCAGCAGCAGCAGAACCAGCAGTCCATAGGCTCGGCCTTTGATTTTCGCTGTCTGTTAATAATATCAAAGCACTTCGTGTTTCTCTTTCGATGTGCGTACACCGCAAGTTGTTGCTGCTGCCTCATTAGGGAGAAGTATATGTAAGTATATATATCTATGGTGTTTAGAAAGGAGAAGAAAGCACAAAATAGAAGTGCTTTTGTTTTGTCTTTCTGCTGTCTTTAAGTAATGCATTTTAAAACGTGCAGATAACTCAGGCTTAGTTTGTTCTTCTTTCTTAGAGTGCGCGAGAGATGCTGTTGATTCCTTTTCTTTTTAAATATATTATTTAAATACTACTAGTAATAATATTATTACTATTCATAACCGAAAGAATAATACTAGTTTTATATTGATCGGAGGGGTTTGAGTGTATCACCCTCTGCTGCTGCAACAAAAGAAAACCCTAAACCCTAAACCCTAAACCCTAAACCTCAGGAAACAAATAGGGTTTCTCCTCACGAACCTACCGAGCCCTCGTTTCTTCCGCTGTGTGCTATGTGTCTATGTTTGTATGAATGCAATAATAGAAGAAGACCCCTAAAAGCTGCATACGAAGAAATCGCTGCATGCACTACAGGCTGTATCTGCTGTTTGTAACTGCTGCTTTTGGTGTGTATAAGCAGCTAGATGTATCATCTAGTCCGTATAATCAATAAATAGATTTATAATAATGCAATTCAATGCATTCAGTTCGGTGTATGGGTACTTAAGTGAAAACACTGCACCGCTGCGTCACGATTAGGTATGAAGTGCTTCTCTTTGACGGCAATGTATATCCCAAACCCCAAACCCTAAACCCTAAACCCTAAATTTATAATTTTTGCTTCTGGTTTTCAATAATATGAATGCGTGCGAGGGGTGCTCATTGAAGAACATTGCTGCAGTGTACAGTGCACGAAAGAAAGATGCTCCGTGTGAAAGAGAGAAGAAACAAGTGTATATTATTTTATTTATTTATTATTTATTGTTTATTTAATATTAATGATGATAATAAAAGAATTATGTTTCTCTCTTTCCCTGCAAGACCGCTGGTCCTCCCAAGCGGCTGGGGGCTTCCACTGGACCTCCTGATCGATGCTGCTGCATTGCAGCATCGTGTTCTGATTGCCTAGGGTTGAATTTAAATTATTTAATTATTTTCATGCATTTTCTATTTATTAAATTCAAAATAAATAGGTGTAAAGCTTGTTTTAGGCGCTTCTACCCTGTTGAATATGCCTGCATCGAGCGCGGCCTCCTATGCGCTCGTGGGGCCCACTGGTTGTTATTAGTTGCTGCCTTATTTATTGAATAATCGTTTTATTCTTCTCTTTTATTTGTTTTTAATTGTATTTTATTGATTTTCTATTCTTCACTACCTTTCAGAATGCTGTTATAGTGGCTCTGTTGGAGCTGCACGTACACCCGAGCTGCCAACGTAGAGATAGAGGAGAAACGCCTGTACTGGGCGATTAGCTTGAATTGCTTCTGCTTTGTTTCTCTTTGGTTTTATATAATAACAGCTTTCTCTGCTTCTTATGCTTCTCTCCATTGCTTCAATACACTGCTGCAGCGGCGATAACCCTTGCAAGTACAGTATACCTTAGTTTCCTTTGTCTTGTTCCTTTTACGTCTCTTGTCGATTATATTATACTTTGTTAATGCGAACATTGTTTTTGTCGTAGAGTTTATTGCATATAGGAGTTCTTATGAGGATATTATTCCTTCATTAGGTTGATTTTCTTTTCTTTTCGCTAAGCTGACGCTGCCTTGCTGCCGTCTCTCTCGGCTGTACAGGGGTAGTGCTTCTGCTGGGCCTCATTTACGCGCATTGTTCTGCAGCAGCAAACGCTGCAGCAGCAGTAAACTTCTGGCGTCTCTGCAGCGATAACAGCGAAAAGCAGCAGCAGTAGCAACAACAACAGCAGCAAAGTGTATTCGTTTATTCAAGGATTTTCTTACTTCTTTTGTTTTCTGACGAGATAGAAACAGATGCAATATGCTTCTGCCCCCAGTCAGCTGGATGGGGGGCGTGCTGCTGCTGCTGTTGCAGCTGCTGCTGCTGCAGCAGCAGCTGTTAGTGGCTTTTGCTGAGACCGCCGTCACATCTGCAGCTGCTTTCCCGCTTGAGAGAAGTTATAAGGGACAGCACAAGGAGGTGTACGTACACCCCATTGAAGAAGGAGTTGTAGAAGGAGAGAGTTGGGCTTCCCCCGATCAGAGACAATCTCCTCTTAGCAGCAGATGGGGTAGCAGCAAAGCAAAATCCCTCTTAAACATTTGGAGGCATCTATTCAGCCGGAGAGGATCGGCAGCAACAGCAGCAGCAGCAGCAGCTGATGCTGCTGCTATTGCTGCTGCTGGCGCAGTGCTAGGCGTTGTGTTTATGCTGCTCTCTTGCGGTTTGTCTATCTCTCGCAATACGCAGCCACACGCAACATGGGTTGCCCCAAGGCGGCTCTCCTCTGGTGCAGATGGAGACCCCTGTGAACGAGCAGCAGCAGCAGCAGAAGCAGAAGCAGAAGCAGAAGCAGCAACAGGAGAAGCTGAAGCAGGTGGAGAAGGCACATCGGGAGGTGGCAGCAGCAGTTCGTTGTCTAACGACGCAGTGAAAGGGTATATTGAGCAGCAGCAACAGCAGCAGCAGCAGCAGCAGCAGCAGCAGGTCTCAGCAGCAGCGGAACAGGGACAGGAGGGGGAGCAGGAACTGTTGGGGTCCCGAGAGGGAGAAGCAGCAACAGAAGAAACAGTAGCAACAACAGCATCAGCAGCAGCAGCAGCAGCAGCAGCTCCAGCTCGCGGAAGCTATTTCCCAGGAGACCCTGTATTGCAGATGTTTGTGGATTTGTTTGAAAAGACTTTCAGTGAAAGTAGAGAAAGAAGAGATGAGAGCAACAAAAGCAGCGGTAGTTCAATAGATGAAGAGACATCTGAGGAGACACCTGGAGAGACAGAAGAAGAGGTAGATATAATACAGACACAACAAACAGAGACAAATAATAAAACAAAGCTTAAAAATGCAGAAACAAACAAAGACAAAGGAGAGGATTCAGGAGAAGAGGCATCAGGCGAAGACACAGAAGAAGAAGAAGAAGAGAGGGGATTACCTCTACATAGAGATACAGACAGAGACAGAGACAGAGACAGAAAAAGAGAGAAAGAAAGAGAAAGAGAAAGAGAAGAAGAAAGAGACAGAGAGAGGGACAGAGAAAGAGAAAGAGAAAGAGAAAGAGACAGAGAAGAAGAAAGAGAAAGAGACAGAGAAAGAGAAAGGGAGAGAGAGAGACAAAGAGAAGAAGACAGAGAAAGAGACAGAGACAGAGAAAGAGAAAGAGAAGAAGACAGAGAAAGAGAACAAGACAGGGACAGAGAGAGAGAGAGAGAAAGAGAAAGAGACAGAGACAGAGAAAGGGACGCCGACATAGAAAAAGAAAAAGAAAGAGACAGAGAGAGAGACAGAGACAGGGACAGAGAAAGAGAAAGAGAAAGAGAAAGAGAAAGAGAGAGAGACAGGCAAAGAGAAAGAGAAAGACAAAGACAGAGAGAAAGAGACAGACAAAGAAAGAGAGAAAGAGAGAAACAAAAGCAGAGGGAAAGGGAAAGAGAAAGAGAAAGAGAACGAGAAAGAGAGAGAGACAGAGAAAGAGAAAGAGACAGAGAAAGAGACGGAGAGAGAGACAGAGAAAGAGACAGACAAAGAGAAAGAGAAAGAGAGAGACAAATAGATAGACAAAAAGGAAGAGAAAGAGACAGAGAAAGAGAAAGAGAAAGAGAGAGACAAAGAGAAAGAGACAGAGACAGAGAAAGAGAAAGAGACAGAGAAAGAGAAAGAGAAAGAGACAGAGAAAGAGAGAGAGAAAGAGAGAGAGAAAAAAACAGAGAAAGCGAAAGGCAAAGAAACAAGCAAAGAGAAAGAGACAGACAAAGACAAAAAGATAGAGAAAGGGACAGGGAAAGAGACAGAGAAAGAGAAAGAGAAAGAGAAAGAGACAGAGACAGAGACAGAGAAAGAGACAGAGAGAGCATCAAGGTGGAGACACAGGGAGAAGCCTCAGCACAAGAGCGAAGACGAAGGACAGATGAAACCGCAATAGGAGAAAGACAGAGAGCAACAAAGGTAGAGAGAATAATGCAGCAAGCAGCTTCCCCTGCTGCTGCAGTCCCAGACCCTGTGGCTTCCTTGCTTGAAGTCGGTTTACCCCCTTTCCCCAGGGCAACCCCTGCAGCAGCAGCAGCAGCAGCAGCAAGAACAGAAGCAGCAGCAACACCAACAACAGAAACAGCAGCAGCAGCAGCAATGCCAATACCAACAGCAGCAGCAACAGGAGGCATAGGAGCAACAGAGACGGCGGCAACATCGCTTCTTGGATTAACCGGCCCAGGAAGGAGACGAGGACCAGCAGCAGCAGCAGCAGCAGCGGCAGCAGCAGCTGCAGCAGCAGCAACTCTTGAGGAAGAAGTTGAAGGAGTAGGATATGAATCTGATTCGTCAGAGGAAGAAGGAGCAGGTGTTTATGCCGCAGCATTTCTGCTAGATAGAGGAGCGAAGGGGGTTGCTGCTAAAGAAGCAGCAGCAAGAGGAGAGCCTACATGGACAGCTACGCCTCTGCTATGGCCTGGAAGTCTAAAGCGAACCATTCCTAATTCTGCTTCTATTACATCTTTGCTGCTGCGGTTGCAGGAGTTGGGGCAGTACTGTCGGGTGTATGTACACCGTCTTCCCCGCTCTCTAGCAAGAGGAATTGTAACGCGTATTGTGAGGTTTGCTGTGGTAGAGTTGTCTGCTTTAAGCTCGTTTACTACTGCAGAAACAGAATATCAACGAATAAACATTATTAGGACATTCATAAGCTTGGGGAAGAGCGTCGGTGGACGCCCCCAATGGCCCCCTGTAGCATGTTGCCCTATAGACCGTTTGCTAGCGCTTCTAGAAGAGCTGCTGCGGGATCATCAGCATCATCAGCAGCAGCAGCAACAGCAGCAGCAGAGGGGGCCAGCAGCAGACGAGGACAGAAGCAGCAGCAGTACGGGCACCAGGTCAACGCTTCCTGCTACTGCAACAGCAATAAGACATGTTGCTGTTGCCCTCAACAGGCTGCTTCAAAGTATGGATATAGTAACAGGCGCAGTTCCATTTGCTGTTTCTAGAGTTGAGGGGAAAGTTATTGCTGCTGTTACCCGGGAGCGGCTGCAGCATGTTCTTGTAGATAAAGAAGCAGCAAGTCTGCTGCAGCGAGCACAAAATAAAGCTTGTCCTAATCTTATTATTACAAAACCAGATATGCAGCAAGCAGCAGAGAACCCAAGGAACGTATCAGAGACCGTTAAGGCTCTGTGCATAGATGCTGCAGTTGCTGCAGCACGAAAAGCAGCAAGCGTAGGCGATTTCCGTGCTATCAGCAGTGCAGCAGCAGCAGCAGCAGAGGCAGTCACTTTCCTTCCAAGCGATTTACAGCAACAAGCACCAAAAGCAGAAGCAGAAAGAAAAAGCGCAGAAGAAGAAAATGAAAATGAAGAAAAAGATGAAGAAGAAGAAGCTGCTGCTGCTGCTGCTGCTGCTGCTGCTGACATGGCCTCGTTCGGATTTCCAGAAATACGTCATAGACAACAAGAGGAGCGCCTGCTGCGGCAGCTGCAGCAGCAACAACTGCAGCACCAACAACTGCAGCACCAACAACAACTGCAGCAGCAACAATTGCAGCAACGGCAACTGCAGCAGCAGCAACTGCAACAGCAGCAGCACCTACAGCAACAGCAACTGCAGCAGCAGCAACAACTGCAGCAGCAACTGCAGCAGCAAAAACTGCAGCAGCAGCAACTGCAGCAGCAGCAACTGCAACTGCAGCAACGGCAACTGCAGCAGCAGCAATTGAAGCAGCACCAACTGCAGCAACAGCAACAGCAACTGCAGCAACAGCACCTGCAGCAACAGCAACAGCAACTGCAGCAACAGCACCTGCAGCAACAGCAACTGCAACTGCAGCAACAGCAACTGCAGCAGCACCAGCAGCAGCAGCAGCAACTGCAGCAACAGCACCTGCAGCTGAAGTCAGTGCAGCAGCAACAGCAACTGCAGCAGCAGCAGGTGCAGCAGCAACAGCAACTACAGCAGCAGCTAGAAAGACAGCAGCTGCAGCAACAGCAACTGCTGCAGCATCAACTGCAGCAACAGCAACTGCAGCAACAGCAACTGCAGCAACAGCAACTGCAGCAGCAACAGCAACTGAGGCAGCAGCAACTGCAGCAACAGCAGCAGCAGCAGCAACTAGAATTAAAGCAGCTGCAGCAACGCCACCTGCAGCAACAGCAACTGCAGCAACAGCACCTGCAGCAGCAACAACTGCCGCAGAAGGCATTGCAGCAACAGCAGATGCAGCAACAGCAATTGCAACAGAAGGCACTGCAGCAGCACCAGCAACTGCAGCAACAGCAACTGCAGCAGCAACAACAGCCACTGCAGCAACAGCAACTGCAGCAGCAACAACTGCAGCAAGATCAACTGGGGCAGCAACAGCTGCAGCAGCAGCAACTGCAGCAACAGCAACTGCAGCAACAACAACTGCAGCAGCAGCAACTGCAGCAGCAGCAGCAACTGCAGCAGCAGCAACAACTGCAGCAGCAGCAACTGCAGCAGCAGCAGCAGCAGCAACTGCAGCAACAGCAACTGCAGCAACAGCAACTGCAGCAACAACAGCTGCAGCAGCAGCAACTGCAGCAGCAGCAACTGCAGCAACAGCAACTGCAGCAGCAACAACTGCAGCAGCAGCAACTGCAGCAGCAGCAACTGCAGCAACAGCAACTGCAGCAACAGCAACTGCAGCAACAGCAACTGCAGCAACAAGAACTGCAGCAGCAGCAACTGCAGCAGCAACAGCAACTGCAGCAACAGCAACTGCAACAACAGCTGCAACAGCAGAACGTGGAGCACGAGCAAGTGCAGCAGCAACAGCAACTGCCGCAACAGCAACAGCAACTGCAGCAACAGCTGCAGCAGCAACAAATGCAGCAGCAACAACTGCAGCAACAGCAACTGCAGCAGCAACAACAGCCACTGCAGCAACAGCAACTGCAGCAGCAACAACTGCAGCAGCAACAACTGCAGCAGCAACAACTGCAGCAGCAACACCTGCATCCGCAACAACTGCAGCAGCAGCAACTGCAGCAACAACAACTGCAGCAGCAACAACTGCAGCAGCAGCAACTGCAGCAACAACAACTGCAGCAGCAACAGCTGCATCCGCAACAACTGCAGCAGCAACAACCGCAGCAGCAACAGCTGGAGCAACAGCAACTTCAGCAGCAGCAACTGCAGCTGAAAGCATTGCAGCAGCAACAGCTACAGAAAGCGAATGTGCTCCTCATGCGGCTGCCTTTTCCCATGTCAAGCATGCATCGCTACCATTACCAGCAACAGATGCAGATGCCGCTGCTGCAGCAGCCCCAACACCAGCACCTGAATGAGCAGCAGGAGTTGCTGCGTCAGCAGCAGCAGCTACAAGCGCAGATATTCCAGCAGCAACTGCTGGGCCAGCAGGCTCAGCTGCGGCCGGGGCTGCTGCAACCCGCGTTGCTTCGTCTGCAAGAGAGCCCGCAGCTAAGGCAGCAGCGGCAGCAGCGGCAGCAGGAGCAGGAGCAGCTGCTGAAGCTTCAGCAGCAGTTATCGCGGATGCAGCAGCAAGGATCGGAGGGGCCCCCCGCAGAAAAGGCGGTAGAGAGTCAGGAGAGAGGCTATGCTGCTCCAGGTTTGTTGAGGGCATTGAAATCTACTGGTGAGTCGCTGTTTCTGTCTCCTGCTGCTTCTTCCTCCAGCAGCAGCAGCAGCAGCAGCAGCAGCAGCACTGGTTACAGCAGAGAAGTGATGGCGCTTGATCTCAGCGAACAAGGAGACAGCGATAGCGAAAGCGACGAAGACAGAGACAGAGACAGAGACAAAAAAAGAAGAGGGGTGTTTGTGGGGTCAGACTTCACAGCACCTATTCTGCCAGGTAGGGGAAAAGACAACAGCATGCAAAGGCAGCAACTGCAGCAGCAACAACGCCGGGAACAGCAGCAACAACAGGTGCAGCAGCAGCTGCAACAGCAACAACGGCTACAACAACAGCAACAACTGCAGCAGTTTGTACTTCTCCAGCACCCGTCGCAGCAGCTGGTGCAGCAGCAACGGCGGCTGCAGCTGCAGCAGCGGGTGCAGCAGTTGCCGCAGGAGCAACAGCTGCAGCAACAGCTTCTGCAGCCAGGAAGCATGCAGCAGCAGCACCTGCAGGAGCTGCTTTTGCAGCCAAGAAGCATGCAGCCGCTGCAGCACCTGCTGCAGCAGCAACAGGTGCAGGAGCTGCAGCTGCATCAGCAGCAGCAGCTGCTGCAGCAGCAGCCGTCGCCGACGCAAGCGCTACAGAAGCAGCTGGAACAGGTACAGCGGCAACTGAACAAGATGCAGCAGCAGCAGCAACAGCTCCTACAACAGCTGGGTCGTCGCCATGGCAAACAGCCGCAGCAGCAGCAGCAGCAGCTGGTGCAGTTGCAGGAGCATCTTTCTGTCTTCTCGCCCGGTGCTTCCGTTGATTATAGGGCGCCGTCTGCGGCTGCCGTCGGGCCCTTCGTAGGCTCTGACTTTACAGCGCCTGTGCAACAAGCAGGGCAAGGGCGAGAAATTCAGCAGCAACAGCAGCAGCAGTTGGCTGCTGCTGTTGGTACTGCTGTTGGTGCTGCAAGGAGACCAAGAGTTCCTCCTGGGTTTGGGGTCGGGCTATTAAGCGGTTTTGGTTTGGGAGGACGCGAAGGATTACGAAGGCAAGGGGGAGACATACTGCAGCTTCGGGAGCAATCGAGGGCTGCTGCTGCAGCTGCTGATGATGATGCTGATGATGATGATGCTGATTATGATGATGATGATGATGATGATGATAGTGATGCTCCTCCAGGTGCCCCTACACCTCGAGAGGAGATTTCTACGGAACCCCAACGCGTCGCCGAAACAACAATGCAAAGTGTCGGTAGAGTGCCTCGGGAAAAGAGAGAGGATCAGCCATCACCCGCTTCATTGGAAGATATTTGGAGATGGGATGATAGACAAGGGGGCTCTGCTCGCCACAGTCAGCTACCAGGATGGTTCATATCAGGTGAATATACACCCCAAACACAGACAAGTAGAAGAAGTACCGCGTACTCTTCAAGTGCATATACACCTCAGATGCCACCGACAACACCAGAAACTGCAGATCAGTCAAGTGTACATACACCCCAAACATCGCCAGAAGACCCCACAAGTGACGGTGGATTCTTGTCGTTTCCCTGGCAATGAAGAAGCGCCTCTTCAACAGTGGCAGGGTCAATGAGAAGGAGAGGAGAAAATAGGAGGTGCAGCATCAGAACAGGCATGTAGGAAGAAGCTTAGACAGACAAAACCCGCACCGAAGTAGAAGAACGAATTACAATAAATAAATAAATAAGCCACAAGCAAAGGATTGGGGCAATGTTTAGACAAAGGAACATATAATAAGTGCCTGGAGCAGCAAAGGCTGATCCACTGCGGGTTAAAAAAGAGAAAGCAGCGAATTCAAACATTATTAAGTTTTGTTTGTTCACTGAGCTACAGATTCAAAGAAAAACAAAGCCAATAAAATCTCATTCATGCAGTCAGCTATCACATCGGCCCCACGGAACTCCTCCAAGCATTATTGCAGTGGAGGGGAGAGGGCTGCAATTATATTGTGTGTTTTCTTTCATGTTTGTTTCATGATTGCCGTTGCTTTTTGTGTCGTTTTTATTTCTGCTGCTAGAGCGCATCTGCTCAGCAGCAAACCGCTTTGCACCAAATTCCTGTGCAGCAAAACAATAGTAGAGGGATAGAGGGGGAGGGTTGTCTTCGCAAGGCATCCAACTGCAGCAGCAGGAAACCCTGATAAGCAACTGCTGCTGCAGAGGATACCGAAGCAGCAGAAGCACCAGAAACACTTACTGGCTGCTGCGGAAGTAGCGGCAGTACAGTCAGTAGCTTTAGCGGAAGCAGAAGCATCAGCAGTAGCAGCCGCTACCGTTGAAAGATTAGCCCTTTCTCCTGTCTCGTGTTAACGTGTCCTTGACGGCTGCGAGTGTAGATGACTATCTTATGTTTAATTTTGTCTTCATGCTTGCCCAGCTGTACTCAACGGGGTATCTAGGGAGAGTGCAATATAATAATAATAGTGGATACTGGTGCACTTTGCTGCCGCTGTTAGAGGCTTCAAGAGGCATGCAAGGAACAGCAGCCGCGCAGCCTTTAGACGCGAGGAGGAGAAGCAGGGAATGTGTGTATTTCAATGGAGAAAGCAAACATCTCCTTCTATACAATCGAAAGGTGACAGCTACGTAGCAGACTACCTAACCAGCTACAACAGCCCTTGGTTTTCAGGTCCATATGTTATATATATTGTATATATACATATTATTTGTAGTACTAGTATTATTAATAGAATATTATTATTATTATATAATATTATATATATGTATCTTTACGTATAGCTATACACTGTGTGCGAGCGAAGAGGATGGATTCTGCAACTGTGGCGCAGGCGTTCTCAGCTCCCCTCTCTCTTAAAACCCTTGCCCTTCCTCCGTTGCCACTTTATTACTATCTCTGGCTATGGCTGTAGTTGTCAGAGAGGTACAGGTAGCTTGAATGCTGAACCTTGCAAAGATTATTTCTTTCTTATGTAGCTTCGTCATAATTTCTGAGTTTCAGCGACGAAATCTTAATCTATAGCCACAGTACTTTGAATACATTGTTGAATCCTTGAATGCCTTTTTTCTATGTCTGTAAGTACTGCATTTCTGTCGCTAGTGGATGCCTACGCTTCCTTCTTGCTCTTGTTGAGGCTAATGGAGCGGCCACTTCAACTCCTAGCGCTGCCCTACCTATCGCAGTACTCCCGAGATAACCTCTGCACTCGAAAGGGTTTGTAGGGCGTCTAAGCAGGCTCCATCTCTAACCCCAAAAGAACTCCATGCTAATCGTGGGCTGCCGTCGCAGCATTCAACACGTCACTGTATTGCGAAGCGTATTGCGAAGCGGCTATTTCCCTCATCTTCGTAGCAATGATAAAAGTAGTACGCACCATTGGAATAGTGTCCTGTTCTCGCAATGCGGGGATCCCAAAGGCTACTGGGAGCGCTGGGTAAGGCGGTGGTGTCAGTGGCAACGGTGGGTTGGCGTGTGAGGGTAGATGACCACTGTCGCACCCCTACCAACTGCTGCACTAACAATTGGCGTTGGTCGAGCAATCAGTAAAACGGCTCCGGTAGAAAACCAGAATTTTTACTTGAGTTAGTCATGGAACGCATTGGTGGAATAGGTAGAGCGTGTGACAGCGCATCGTTGGCTAGCGCCTTGTGGGTGGGGAGGGGTTGGGGGCAGTGATCGCTCTTGGGAGTCCATGATAGACTAATCCGTATTAACTTGCTAAACTGTGCCACGTTAATATGGAGTAATCTATCAATGATTGACAGTGGGAGTGGATAGACACTGCTCCATGTAACCGGTCGAGATGCACATCGCATCTCGACCGGTTACATGGCTGTTTGAGTGGATTCAGCGAATGGAAGCCAAAGGACATTAGGAAGAGGTTTTACCGCCCCAAGTGAGGGTTTCTGTCGCGCACATCATCACTCTGGAGAGCTATTATCCCGATTTTATCCGGCATAACAGCGGTCGAGGTGGCACGGAAAACCCAAGAAGCGACAAAGAATGAATGGCGCCCCCGCGAAAAAACCTCGCAATAACGACCTCTGCAGACTGCGCTATGAAACATTGTCGAGACGCAACAGATGAATCGGACTGTAGATGGGAATGGATGAGACGAAGTGGGTGATTCCGCAGCAACCTCAGCGAGCGATGTGGGGAGGACCGGGCTCTGTCAAGCGCAAGCTAGAAAACATCTTTCTCCCCTGCGTATGATGGCAACACTTCTATAAGATGCTAGTTACCAAGTGAGCACCGAGCACTCTGTCATGGACTGCCAAGCGGGACCACTCCTCGGCTGGCCTCTGGCCGCCGACATGCGGCGTAGAGGTGGTGTAAGGAGGAGTTACGCCTGTTGCTGGTGGGCTCCGTCGAGGTCTAGTAGTCCGAGCCCTTCTTTGAGAGCGAATGTAGGTGAATACCTTAGTCATAAAATGACTTCCTCCACAGATTCTGATCCTGCACCATTGGATAACTATTCTGCGCAGGGTATTGCCGATTGTGCTCATTGGCTCAGTCCCCTAAGCAGGAGTCACCGATCGACAAATTCGAGCATATTTTGGACTGCCTCGCAATAGCGAGCTCTACAGCCCGCCTTGTGAAACACTGAGACGCTCCAGCTGACTGACACTATATATCGGACTGCATGCGAAAGAAGGTGAGCCATATCGCCGCACCTTCAGCTCATTGGGAAGGCCCGCGCTGTCAAGCACAAGTTAGAAAACAAGCCATTTTTTGCGCATTTTCGCGAGGCTTCCAAAAGGGGCTTTATGCCAAATTAATAGCAAGCAGTCTATCATGGACTGCCGAGAGGCATCACCCCCCCCAACCCCCGCGGGCCCGAAAGAGACTAGCCACACGCACCGCCTATGTCTCCAATGACCTCCATGGATAACTCTAGTGGTTCAGTATCTTCAGTGGTGATGTTTTGCTCACTGCTCTATCAACAGCAAATGTTCATGCAGCAGCTGGTGGGAGCGCGAGAACGGTCCCATACCCCCACACGCGATGCCATCGAGGCCACTGACCGCATTACTCAGCTCTCCTAGTAGCATTTGATATCCTCGCATTGCGAGAACCGGACTCCTTTTATGATATGTACCAACTAATGGTACGTAACACTTTTATTATCATAGTTACGAGGCTAAGGGAAGTACCCGCTTTCCAGTACCGTGAGGTGTTGAATGCTGGAAAGGATGCCCACAATCAGCGTGAAGTTCCGTTGGGGCTAGAGGGGGGGCCCGTGTAGATGCCTTACAAACCCTATAGAGCGCCGGACTGGTCTCGGGGGGCCAATAGGTACGATCTCGCTAGCAGCAAAAACACGCCATATGTGGCCGCCTCACGCCCCCCAGAAACTCAGAAAGAAGGGCATCGAAAAAAGCGGCGCCGAGATGGTCTAAGAGGGAATTATCCCTGTCGCTCGTGGACTCCATCGCGGTGTAGTACTCCTAGCACATACTTCTTCGGGAGAGCAGATAGGTAGTGGCCATAGTCATGTAAGGCTTTCCCCCCACAGATTCTGATTCCCAACCATCACAAGACTTTTCTGACCAGGATGCTGGTGATTCAATTCACTCAGAAGCATCGCGGCGACCGACAAATTCTGGCATTTCCCGAAGTCTCGCCATCATGCGCAAGATAGACTAATCGGCATTAAGTTGGTAAGAAGTCCCTTTTCGAAGTCTTGCCATTATGTGCAAAGAAAAAAGAGATTTTCTTGTGTGCGCCTGACAGCGCTGGCGCTCGTCACATCTCCCGTTGAAGGGGCGGCGAGTTCGCTCATTCTTCGTCGCATGCAGTCCCATCTATAGCCCTTGTCACCTGATGCGGCTAGTATATGTGTCATAGGCGGGCTATATCGCTCGCTGTGGCGAGGTTCCCTTATTCTTGTGTTTACTACGTTGGCCTATCCTCTGGTGTACCAGGTAGGTTTGGGATAATAGGTCTCTAGGGAGCGGAACTGCGCGATTGCAGCCTTGGACGGGAAAACCTCTTTCAAGTTTCCTTTCGCCACCATGCAGAGTCCACCCAAACGCCCATTTATTTGCCTTTCAATGCGGGGATCCCAAAGGGGGGTGAGCGCTCGGTAATTTGGTCAGTAGCAGCGGTGGCTTCGCTTGTCGTGGTAGCTGACCGCCCTCTACCAGATGCTGCACTAACATTTGCTACTGATTGAGCAATGAGTAGAATATCCTCGCTGAAACAATAAAACCGGTAGTACAGTTAGCCAGGGGGGGCATTGGAGGCATAGGTAGTGCTTGTTGTTGCGCGTCCGTGGGTAGTATCTTTGGGGGAGAGTGGTCCCCCAAAAGATAAGGACGAGGCTTTCGGGAGCTTCCGCAGGAAACAGTAGACGCGAATTTCGCAAAGTCCATTGATACTGCCCAAAGGAAAGGACGAGAGGCTTGGAAGGTGTGAGAGTGGCATTAATGCTTCCATACTTCTCCAGTCGCTGCTGCCACTGTTACTGCTGCGCGTACGGTTGTAACTGCTTCAGCAACCCGTGCGGCGAGTGCAATTGTTGTTTTTGCTGCGCCAAGGATACCGTAAGTGCGCCTCCCACGGAGGAGGACGCATACAAAAGCCGCAGATCAGAAACGCAGCTGAAGCAACTGCAGCAACTGCAACGTCAGCAGGGATAGCAGCAACGCTGGGGCAACAACAGCAGCTTGTAGGGGCGAGCATCTACCAACCTCCTGTTCTACGCCTCAGGGGTTTTAGTATGTTGGAGCTGTATGCTCACCCAAAAGTGTGTAATGCCCAGCTTTTGTAGCGTTATCTATCGCTCTGCGCAAAGCAGCAGCACCCCATGCAGCCGTTTTTGCCCCTCCTGTCTGCGTCATTGGCTCCCAAGGAAGGGCACGTTCATTCCCTAGTGATTACGCACTTTTTGGTTATACCGTTGCAGTCGTTTACCTTGCTTCTGCTGTTATTCCTTTTTACTGGCTGTATTGATCATTGGAGCACTTGTGCTTTTCAACAACGGAAGCTGTTGGCTGGCGCACGGCAATGGTGCTTCAATATTCATCAAAAAAAGGGGCATATATCGCTCAAGAGGTGGCGGTGTTACTGATTCACGCCTCAAAGAAACTGGATCTCTAAATTCGTGCGCCAGTGCATAAACTTGGTACGCTTACAACCAAAACCCTGTTCAGTAGAAGGCTGGACCGGCAACAAGTATCTGGACAACGTGCCCAACATAGCAATTGGCGTGTTGCGCTGTAGATTCAGCACCATCTGAACTTGAACAGGTTGGGATTGCTAGCTGTCGAGTTCTGTAAAGTACACGCAACGACGGAACAACAGAGGATGCCACATGGTGGTCCCCCTGTTTCAAGGACAGGGGCACCGTCATGTGGCCTTCAGCAAAGCTCTGTTCCAAAAAACAGCGCCAGTTTTATTTGGTTGGCTAGATAAGGGGCGGGCATTCTTAGTGCATTGTTTTCCCGGGAAGACTAACTTCCGCTGGATGTGCTGGGATAACGTGCTCGTTCCAATGCGATGAGGCGCCCAGCTGTTGTTTGCCTTCCCCGCGGAAGGCAGATCCTGATCAGTGAATCTTCCCGAGTCACGCGGAGGAAAGGATGAAGTGCTGAGACAGTGTAGGAAGAATATCTACGGAATTTCTTAGACTAGTGGCGGTGTATTGAACGTCTAGTATAATTAAAACACCTTCGGTACGAGCCACTGCCATGCACTTCTTTGGAGGTAGGGTTCGTTGCTCCTACTTGTCCCGATAAGCATGCTACCCCAGAACTATCGTGAACCGCAGGAGAGACAAAAGAGTTACGTATACGGCGTTAGTGCAAACGGAAAAGGGGGGGGTTAGCGGTTGTTGCATTCGAAGGTGCCTTGAGGCATTACTCGCCAAGCAGTTCCTTCCCATACATTGGCCACTGGGTTGCTGTGCTCAAAGGGTCTGGGGATAGGAGGCCAGTTGCTATTTGACTAAATCTTTTCCTCAACTCTTTTCGCTTGATTTCAGCTAACTACGGTCCTCCGATAGATGGACTGTTCGTGCATTGAGACGCTGCAAGCCTCCTTTTGGTGTACGTATTGACGGAGTAAACAGTTGTTAGACCTGTTCCTTGACCCTCGGTAGCAAGTCATTACGAAAGGAGAAGTACACATAATGTTAAGTTCAAAAAGAGTATATGCGTAGCAGGAGAGGGGTTCTCGGGTCTCAATTTGCAAATCCTGTTGTTGTAGCATTATCCTCCGTCCTCTGCGTCCATTTCTCCTTGTGGGAAAGCTTTCCTTGTTTTGTAACGAATAGAAAGAGATCCACATGAAGAAGACGATCCGTCAGAGTTGTTTTTGGTTGTTTCCCTTGCTTCGCTGGTGTCCCTCCCGTTCCCTACCGTGCTACGGTGCACAGAGGAGGCCAGGAAGGTCGTTCGTTCAACATTACATTGCCCAGCTATTCATGTTTTGCTTGTGACGAATTAATTTAACGTTATTTGCTTCTTTCGGTCTAATAATAACCAATTACGCAGCTGTTGTTGGCTACCGAGGAGAGCCCCAGATACTAGTGGAGTGGGTGGGCCTTCGAGCATGGGTAATTGAGGCATGTATGCTGTTGCTTGTAGAACATTTTATTTGTTTAATTTCATTTGGCAGATGCTGTTTTTTGATTGTGCAGATCCTGGTGGGGTCTTGCCTTAGTTATGTGTTTGTTAATGCAGTTGCTGCTGTAGGCAGTGTCATTTCATCCCCTGCTCCATTCACTTGAGCGGCTTCTCACCCTCCCGGCCTTTTATTCTTTGTTTATTTTCAGTAGTGCAGCTGTCATTTTGGTGCCTTCTGTGGCCGATATCGTCTCGTTGCTCTCTCCCGAGCTGCTGGGCATGTTTTAGTGTCTCTGTGGTTGCTGGTCCCTTCACCTGTTATTATCTCTTAGGCCCATCAGGAGTCTACATGTGACCTCTCTCCTTCTGTGTCTTCTGTATGAATCTTTCTCATACTGTCTTCCTCCTCGTTTGTAAGCTATAGGCTGGCCCGCATCCTTCTCTGCCTCCTCTCCTGTTTCTTTTACCCCAGACCCCGCTCGCCCGAGCAGCAGCAAAAACAGCAGCAGGGGCAGAAAAGGTATCAACAGCAGCTGCAGAGGCAACAATAATCTACAGCAGCAGTAGCAGCAGTAAGCCGCTCCGCTGCAGCACTACCAAGGGGCCCTGAAGCAGCTGCTCCCCTTGGGCGTTTGTCCGTTAACCCCCCGTATTATTTGAATTGTTTTTTCCTATTGTTTCTTCATTCCGTTTTAGGAGCAGCAGATGCATGATGCGGCGCTCTCTAGAGGGCAGTTTGAGGGACCTCTGGAAGATACGGTTGAGGTCGCGGTCCTCTCTGTTGCTGCTCGTGCTGCTGCTACTGCAGCAGCAGCAGCCGTCAGCGGCGTTTGATGATGTTGTTGGGACCCCTACTGCTTCTGTTCCCACTGGTAGAAATCTTTCGGGGGCGGGAACCTCTGTGCATGCGCACCTCGACGGAAATGCTCTGGGGAAAGAAGGCCACAGTTGGGGTCCTACTAATGAAGATAGTTTATCATTTGGCGGTTCTAATAGCATACGTAATCATCTCTGGAACTATTCGAGGCCTCCGAGAGGGCGCAGGGGGCCCCTAGGCGGTACTTCTGCAGTGGCTGCAGCAGCAGCTGCTGCTTCTCTGCTAGTCGTCGTGTTTCTGCTGCTCTCTTGCGGTGTTTATATCTCCCGCAACACGAAGTTAGCCTCGGCCTGGGGCCACCAAAGGAGCCTCTCATCCCGAGAGGGTGAAGGACCCTGTGAAGACACTGACGGAGAAACAGAAACAGAAGGAGCAGTAGCAGGAGCAGCAGGAGGAGGAGAAGAAGCATCAGGCGAAGCAGATGCAGAGGCAGGAGGAGAAGGAGCAGCATCAGGCGAAGCAGATGCAGAGGCAGAAGGAGACGCAGAGCCAGGAGGAGGAGCTACAGGAGAGCTGGACCTCTGGGAACCGCAGAGGACTCCTCGAACACCTTTGCTGTGGCCTCGAGGCCCCGGCGAAACAATCGGGTATTGTCCCTTTCTGGGAAAATGGTGGAGTTGCTGGAGTGAGTTGGTCAATTACTGCCGGACGCGTTGCAGTAGCCTCGCTTTAGGCAGGTCACGGACAGTAGGGATGACTGTTTTGAAGCTTGCTTTAGTTGAAGTAGTAGCAATGACGCCTTTCTCCACTTCAGGGGAAGAGACTTCAAGGCAGAAGGCAATTGAGGCCTGCATACGTTTTGCAGACGCTTTGGGTGCCCGTTCCGAAATGGATCGGCAAGAAACTATTGTCTTGGACGGCCTGCGTTCAGTTTTTGAGCGTATGCACGACAGGGGAAATTCCCCTACCGTCCGGGTAACCCACAGGGCGGGCCAATTAAAGAATACTATGCCCCTAGCAGCAGCTGCACTGGCGGCAGCGGGCACTAGTGTAAACACTTTGTTCCAGTCCGTGGCAGGCGACCCACCAGTTCTTCCCCTTGCTGGAATTGCACAGTTGACCGCGGAGGTGGGGGCCGTCACTACGGAGAGGATCGTCCACACTCTGGGAAGTCCGGCTTCGGGCAAGCTGCTGCGTTACATTCAGGGTCTTCATGGTGAAGGGTTTTTATTTACTAACGTACACGTGGATCTTTCCAACGCACCAGGGGACGAAAGAGACACCAGAGAGAAGGCAGAAGCCATCAAAAGAGCAGCAGACGCAGCTGGTAAACATGCCAGAAGACACTACAAAAAGAATAAGCATGACCAGCACACAGGGCAACGAGCAGACGCTTTTCCCGGAGATGCATTACACCGTCGCGATAGAGGCCCTGATCCTGTTGCTGCTCGTAGAGGCGGTAGAGGAGAACCCGAGGGAGCGGAGCTCGGGTTGCGCTGGGGTGACCAGCGCCAGGAACAAGAAGTTGCTTTGCCTGCTGCAGAGAGGCCCGAACCGTACCCGCTTCCAGGGGATGCAGTGCCAGGACCCCAAGCAGCAACACAATGGCAGCTCGTACAAGGACCACAAGGGCCAAGGCCCGACACCGTCCCGAGAGCCATTCCTCCACATTTTCCCCCCATGCAACCCGTCCCCGTTGTCGTGGGAGTGCCTGTTGCTCCGCCGCCAGTACTTTTGCTCGTCCCCCATCCTCAGAGGCCACCGCACCCAGGGCCTTGGGGGCTTCAACAGCAGCACACTGGAGTACCTGGGGGGCCCTTCCATCATCCGCAGCAGCACACGGGGCCGCGGGGGCCCTTCCGTCACCCGCAGCAGTTCTGGGGGCCGCGGGGGCCCTTCCGTCACCCGCAGCAGTTCTGG